GCACGCTCATCCTCGGATCCGTCAGACGGGGTTCTTCCGGAATTGTGCAGAAACAAAGCCTTCAAGATATCTACTGGTGACCAGCGATGAAATCGACGGTTATTACCAAGCGAGGTCATAGTCTTCTACTGTTTCTGACACAGATTTTATATGAAGGGATTCGAGCTGAAATTTTCATAATGAACCTAAAACGAGTCAGAACCCTGTGTATTTTATTTACTCGATTAAAATGGGAATTTTCTTCTTTCATATTTTGGAAGGACAGTAAAACAAGTCCAGAGATGGAAATCGTAAATCATGCACACAGCAGGCTTCACTTTCCCTGTGCCAGCCTGCGGACCTTCCACCACGTCCGCATGTGTCACCAGGCACGCACGTTTACAGACATTTGCGTATCAACTCTAAAGGAGCATGCTCCCCGTGGAGCGTATATAATTTATGCATATGCTGTCACTCCACGTATATTAACGCGTTACCAAAACCGTCAATTACTAGCAATTAAAAAAAAGAAGAATCCTTTTTTTTTTTTTTAAGTCATGTGAATGACAAACAGCAGGTGTGAGCTCAAAGCTTGACCTTGTCTGTAATGAAGAAAAAAACCTAAGTTTGCATTTGAAAACCAGAGCCGGCGGTGGCCTGACGGGCTCGGCAGACGCGTGCGCCCAGGCCCTGCCTCTCAGCGGCACACCGAACCAGCCACTGCAAGGATGGGCTTTCGAAAACACGCTTCTTACATTTCCTTCTCTGAGGGCTGCAGAAGTTCCACGTATGGAAAGATGCTCAAGCAACTGCCAAGGGACATCACACACGCAGGACGGACGGACGAGAGCCGGTGTCAGAACGTGGGCGTCTGGGGCGGACGAGAGACGATGCGATGAACGTGGTCGAGTCAGTCGACGTCACGCAGAAAGGCAGAAGCGCGCGTGTCGTCCTGCGAGTGACCGCCCGGGCAGAGCCTCGCGAGCCTGTCCTGTCGCCTTGGTCTGCAGAATCAGGTACGCTGGCCCCGCGCGTGGGTCCCCTGCGAGGCTGGCAGAACGTTCGCTTAGCGGGGCCGCCCTGGGCATGTGGGCTGCCGGCCGAAGACTGCCCATCGTCCCGTGGAGACCGCCAGGGGCTGGGGCGGCCCTGAGGCCACGCAGCGTCGGTGAGGCCGATTTGGTGACGGCGCCTCCGGCTTCCTCGCTGTGTGTGAGGACATCGGTGACGGCTTTCGCTTGCCGCAGGGCGTCGGGTGTTTGC